CTATATTCCTGTTACATTTCCGAATTTCTGGTCGCAATCCGATAGATGGTAGCATAGAAGATGATATAGCACTCTTAGCATAGAAGTATGATATAGCACTCTTAGCTTCCCATATAATATAAAATATACAGTATGCGTTAATAACTATTTATGTAACTATTTATGTAACAATTAATTAACTCTTTAACGTTAGATTCTAGACCCAATATCTGGCAGCAACATATATATATATATGTGTATTTTTCTTCAAACCAAGGGATATTATTTTCATTTTTTGTGAATATATGTGGAACAATAGGGACATAGTGAAATCAATAACTCAATATACGTTAATATTAACTATATTATTTACATTTATTATAATACAACAAAACTATTCTATATTATGGCTTACAATGGTAAGTTTATGACAATAAGTGTAGATATTCCAAAGGATTCTTGTCCATAGGATCTGTAAATACATACAGTTCTCCAAAAATGGGTTTAATATATGTATCTGCTGGCACATCTTCATATGTTGGTTCTCCAAAGAATGTACCCACTTCCCAATATGGGAAATCTTTCATTACATCAGCTTCTATTTCTCTCACTCGTTTTAATTGTTTTAACAATCTATAACAATGTACACACGTAATACGCTAGTATAGTAATTAAGAAATACATATTTAAGAAAGGAAAAAATACAATATATGAAATATGATAATGATAGCGTTAACTATTGGCAACTTTAATAAAATTCTGACATAATTTATAAAGATAGTTTTCTGAAAGCAAATTATACAACATGAATCATAACATGAAATTATACTTACGTTCTATCGTTTTCTGCAAACAAGATGGGCAATGCTGCTAATTCCCTACTTTTTGCCTCAATAATACGTTTTCTTTCAGTTCGCCAATTCTGGGTATACAATGGCATTCCAATAACATTAACAGCAATAAATATACCTATACCCATTTTACCTAAAATAATTATATTTAATATATTTGAAGAAACAGTTGTATATATTTGATATATCGTACAATTCATTAATATTTATTAATTTTATTAATCAAAAGATCTCGAATCAAATCATCTTTTAAATAATAAATTAATGTATATTATATAGGTTAGTTTGTACCTGTTGCAAGAGAGCGCAGCTTGATTCGTTCTATTTGAAAAGGAACATATCCTCCTTTTGGAGGTAAATCTTGAGGTCCTTTGACTTTAGACATCCTTGTTAACTGTATATTGCTATATAAACAATATATTAAGTTAACAAAGGCCAATACTTTTTCCTGCCGTCCGTCTTCGACGACCTCGAATAGAACTGCACTAGCACTCCTGGTGAATATTTCGGAAATTATTTTTCACGATTCGTGCTAATTTATGTGCACAGTTAAAATTTCCTCGGAGATTCTTTAATTATTTGTTTCTCTGTATCTAATTCTGTAATTAAAAATCATAAATTTTTATACATATTAATAGAATTGGTATTTAAAGAAATTAAAAAGACAGAAAAGATATTTAAATAAAAATAAAGAAAATCAAATTGAACATCTAATTACTATTTCATTATTTTTTTATTTTTATAAGCATGGCTTTTAAATTAATAGTTGCATTTATTTTTAAAAAAACATTTTAAAATTCAAATAAAATATATTATGAAACTATCTACATTAAAAAAATTTCAAATAAAAAGGTATTAAATTAGATAATAAAAAACATACATTAAAGTATAACTATAATTCAATCATCACAGTTATACTTAAATAATATTATTATATTCATAAATATATGGTTACTATAATAATATTTCCAGTAAAATACAATATTAAATAAATATATTCAGGCGTTTATATCTTGCAACTTGATTATACATTGTATACCTTAAACTTACTTATTATATTATTTATTCTTGTTTATCTTATTACCTATGCGGTACATACAATATTGTATAATATAAAATATCAATCACAACAAATCTTTATACGAGGATTGAATAGGAGGAAAACAGAAGGAAGGAACAAAAATACTATTTAATCACTTTTTTTATCATTAACTGATTGCAAACATTTGCTATGTTCATCATTTAAACGATCATATTCTTTAGCAAGAGATTCAGCTTGTGATTTTATAGCTTCTTTATCTTCCTTTTCCTTTGCAAGTTGATTTTCCAATTCTTGATTTTTCGTTTGCAATTCTTTAATTTGATTTTTCCATTCCGATAGTACTTTATCATGAGCTTCGTTCGAATCATTTTCTGCAGTCTCCTTTGTATTTATCTTTTGTTGTAACAACAAACGTTTGGCTGTTGTAGTTGCTGATTCAGCTTGACGCATAACAGCTTCACTTTTCGCTAGCAAAGTGGCTTGACCAGAAATTAAAATTACAAGACGACGTATGACAAGACTTAAAAACAATGCAAAGCCAGATATGTAGAAGTTTCGTTGTGCTCTGAATAATCTCATATTACCTACATAAAATAGTAACAGCATTATCATACAATATCTAATCAACATCGTCAACATATCATATCAATACAAACATAAATATATACCTTGCATTTCAGCATTCAAATGTTCTTTAGCTTCATGAACCATAGAATATTTTCGCATTTCTCTTATAGAATCCAACAAAAACAAAACTAATACTCCAAGCAAAAATAAAAAATAAATTGATGCTTTATCGCTCAAACTTTTCAGAAACTGGGATCTAAATAATTTCTGCCATCTTGTTGGTGAAATTATTGGTAATACTAATAATAGAACTACTACAATTTCAAAATAAAGAAATCCGGCAATTAAAGTCCACTGCAGACTCATGATTAATTTCTGTTTACTCTATGTAAATATCTACAAAAAAGTCGTAAAAACATTAATATTATTGCAGATATCAAATTAATTTATCATTATTATAAATATTAAACTTTTACTCAATACATAGATCTTTGTTAATAATTTTTATAAATGTCTTAAAATGACTTAGTAAAAATGATATAATTAAACGTATGTACGACGTCGCAATATCGGAATCATTTCAAGTAAAAATAAAGTCCTTTAATCAAAATTTTTACCAACTCTCAATAAATTCTATTTTTAAATATAACCTATAATATTATTTTAGTAGAAAGAATGAACCATTGTTCTTACCTTCTACTTATTTTCTTCTAGATCACAGCTGTAATAAAAAAATTATTATCAATGTAATAAATTTTAAAATGTTAGATATAATGACAAAAATCGAAATTAAAAATAATGCAATCGGAGTTCTCAAAGAGAAGAAATAGTTAAAGACAAATGTTATTTAAATTACTTTCTATATTATCGAATATACTCCATTTATCGTAAGCAATGTTTATATAGTCTTAGAACAGCAATTTAAAAACAATTCTTTTAATATATATTTAAAAACTAAACTGACCTGTTACCAAGATACGTGTTTCGAGTCATCGTCAGGTTTGCCAATATTTCTACTTACTAATTCATGTAGAAGTACATAATACAACAATATATTTTTATATATTGCAATGTGATAGATTTTATTAAAAATTTATTGTTATATTTATATCCGCATACACGTGACATGTATTAAAAGACGGTCATATCCTTAATATAAATGTCAAGCATACTGCTAAGCTTAGGTTAACAACAATACTGTCACGAACATTAGAAGATTCTATTTCACGTGAATTCAAACACACAAATGCTAGAAGATAACAACAAGGAGGAAGAAAGAAGAGTGAAAAAGCAGTGTCATGTGATAAAAATGTTATTATCTAAAAGTATTAATAACCTTTTAACATAAAAAAGGCATTAGTGTTTTATATTTAACTAAGGAATCGATCAATTTCATTTTACGCAAAAAAATTTACATTTGGATTTATTGTCGTCATTTATAACTATCAAATTTGTAAAAAGAACTATATTTTTGTTCCTAAAGATATCCAAATTTTAAATTGAGATTTAAATTTTTTATTTCTACTGTTTGATGTTACAGTAGGGATACAATTACAGCTGCGCTTATTATATAAACGGGTAGTGTGAATACAGGAGTGCATTTATAAATGAAATGTAAAATATTTTTTTTTATTTAATTATCTCTATACTTATCTTAACAATAAATAATTATCTTACAATAAATAAATTATCTTTTAATAAGTAATTATGTTATTATAAAAGCAATTAAATATATATTTGAAACAAATTTTTTTTTTATTTATTATCAGTTTATTTTATTTATAATCAGTTTATGTTGCAAAATCAATTTTAATATTGTGAACTTAGCTTTGTGACAGAACTTTGTACATAGGCAATGTGTGTAAGTTGTTTTCTTTTTTTTTGTATTAAATCATACTTAAATATTTAATGTCAAATATTTAATGTATAATAAAACTGTAGCTTTGATATATAATCCCAATGGTTTCATTATGTACATAAAAATAATTATAATAATTGTCTAAATGTTGCATTGTTCTATTCATGTGTTTAAACATTAAGTTTAATTGATACTGTATTCTAAAACTTGATAATAACCTTATTAATAAATGGCAGCACTTTTTTTAAATATTATTTATTTCAATATTTATTGTAAGAATAATAAACATACGCTTATATTTGTTGTTAGACACACATTGACGTTACATTTAACTTTATTAACATTGAGTCAC